GATGAGTGGTTGTGTAAAGCGCTTTGGGGTCCTTAGGGACTAGTAAAGCACTATATAAATACAGGCCATTTACCATTTACCATATAACGACTAACTACTCCTGAAACTTTGGAGGTTTTAGCTCTTTACACAGTAAAGTTACAGGATAAATATAATTATCAGGCAAAATGTCCTTCGTTTGTTAAAATAATCCCGTCTGATACCACGAGAGGACAATAAATATTTCATTTTCTGTTGTAACCCTTAAACTGAATGGTAATGTAACGACACTCAGGTTTCACTTTTTTACAAAACTAAAACATCACTACTTCCATGTCTGACTGTTTGTAATGGAGGCGGCGTAACCTGGATCCACACTCCGTGCCCAGCGAACGCTCGCCACGCAGGGGGAACACATGCTGTCGGCGATACCGACCTCGGCACAACGCTGATCCTGCCGCAGTTTGTTCCCCGGTTCAAATCCCGGACAAACAGGATCCCACAGCTGTTTATGCTTTTAAACCCGTTTTGCACAGAGAGCAGTGTTGAATATTCTCACACGGGAACAAAACAAACAACTCAAATAATTAAAGATGGTTTGTTTTTCTGTTTTTCAAAAGAAGCAGTGATTTATTTAATTACAACCTGTAATCTATTACAGTTAACTTTTATTTGTTTAACTGTTTACAAAAGGTCTGAGGATCTGAGGCGTGGAATGAACTGCAATGGAGTTTGAAAACAAAATATGAATGTGCGGTTGGAGGATTGTGGGGGGGTTAAACCAACAGCAGAACCGGTCCCAGGACAAGAGACATGGTGATGCAAGTAGCTTTGTGTCACTGACTGCTGAGATGAGAGGCCTCACTCATCCCTGGTTTCTGGCTCTGTTCCTTCAGGTCCAACAAGGCTTTGGCTGCCTCACTGGACCGAGCTGTGGACCCACAGGACCCCTTGGTGAACAGGTTGTTCAGAATGATGGCCACCACTGCTATGTCACAGGCTCTGTACTTCTCCACTGGTGCTCATCCTCAAGACCAATACTACCATTATGGTACGATACCTCTGCACAGCTTTTATTGGCTCCACTAGAGTTTCAGTGTGACTGTGGGTCAGTCCATCCATCACACGTCTGCACACACTTGTCCAACGTCTGTTGTTTGTGAAGAATTATTCGACCGAGAACTAAAAAGAAGGCTAACGTGCTGATATTTGCTTCGTTGTCGTAGGTCTGGCTCTGGATCGCTACACACACTTTACCTCACCCATCCGTCGGTACGCAGACATTGTCGTGCACCGCCTTCTTACCGCAGCCCTGCACATGCAGAGGGGCGTTGTATCTGGTAAAGCACCAGCCAGTAACAAAGAAGTGGAGGAAATGGCTCACCATGTCAACAGCAAGAACAGGGTCAGGGGTGTTTTATTGTTTGTGTTTTTCAATGATTCACCTCTTACTCTATTAACAGAAGCTGTGCTGACGTCTGTGTTTCATTTGCAGGCAGCACAGGCAGCCCAAATGCGATCCACAGCACTGTTTCAGTGTCTGTTTTTCAGAGAACGAGACCCTCAGACAGACCCGTGCTGTGTGGCTGACGCTGTTGTCTACTCCATTCGAGACAACGGTGTCTTGGTGTTTATCCCAGAGTAAGAACCTTCAGTCCTGTGTTTTGTTCTGCAGCCTTCTTCTCTTTCTTTGTTGAATGGAGCTGTACAGCAGCTCACAGACGGCCAACCACTCGTGTATTTTTAATAGACGAATTCAAAGTTTATGACAATGAATGAATTTGTTGGAAGATGTAATTGCACGCTAATCAATGTATATATTCAACAGTATACACGCTAGTTTTATTTTCTCTTAAAAAACCTCAAAATGAGTTTTAAATTGTATAAATTTACTAAACTAATTCCTTAAACATTTATTGTGAGCGGGGAAAATCGGCTAAAACCCCGAATCTTTTCTCTACCAGGCTTTAAATAAGTTAATTGCATTGCTGAAGTTGAGTCTGTGGGGAGGGACGGTGCTTTGGAGCCAGCCTTGGGTTTGTGGCACTTCTACGTTAGCTTAGCTAACCTCTGGAGGTTGCTGCTTGTTTATTGCAAGGAAAGTGTAATTTAATAACATCAGTGTTCTCCATGCTTGTGGTGTTACAGGGATATGCAATATTAACAGTTTATTAAAATGTAACCTGTGGTCATTTTGAGAAGGCTGTAGAATCCATGTAATGATTAAAATCACAGGGCGCAAAGCAGGTTGAGTAATATCACTGAGTAAGTAAGGCTGCCTCTGACCACAGCCATGTTGTTCACAGGTATGGTGCGAGGGGGCCTGTGTATCTGAAGAACAAAGAGGGCCTGGTGGTGGTAGCGGGACAGGACGGCAGCTGTGATTGGCAGGGTGGCACTGTGCGAAAATACCCGGACCGCATTACCACCACCTCCAGCTGTGGCACCTCCACCTTCAAACTGTTTGACCACATCACCGTAAGTCACAGAAGACGCTAATCAATCATTTTAGAAGGTTTCCAGCAATGCAGCGCCTAAAGGCGACGATTCCAAATATATATGCATGAGTGTATATGAATCACAGCTTCATACGACTACTGGATCTTTTGTGGTCCAACATTAAGAGACGTTTTTGTTGTGATAAAGTGTTGTGTGGTTGCTGCTTTTTAGCTAATCTCAAGGTAACAAAACGTCAGTAAGATGAATGAGACGAAAATGATTCCTGAAAAGAAATCATTAAAAGTTATTCAGTTTATTGTTTTTAAATATTATATGAAAACAAAAACATAGGTGTGTGTGTGTGTGTGTGTGTGTGTGTGTGTGTGTGTGTGTGTGTGTGTGTGTGTGTGTGTGTGTGTGGGGCTCTCCTCCAAGACAAGAAATGTAATGCTTCCAGTTTGTGGCGTTCCTACACAAACCTTTTTGTAAAGGGAGATAAAAAATGGCAGTGGGCGGTAATTGTCGATTGTTTTCACATAAACGCCTTTAAACGCTGCACGGTCGCACTCTCTCTCTCGCACTCGATAAATGATCCATTGTTGCTCTGCACACGTTTGTTACCACAAACGTCGCATGCACTTATGTCATTGTCATGAGACACTCTTGCAAACAAACTCACGGTTTAGTAACACAGTAGAGCAGCGTGTTTACGGGACAGTAACAGTAATCTAATTACCTTTTTTGCAACAGTAATCCCTTACTTTACTTGTTACTTGAAAAAAGTAATCTAATTATGCGTTGCTGCCCATCACTGGCGTCAAGTTATATTAAGTTCAGGCATGTTACACACGATGATTGTGAGGAATAAGTGCATGTGATTTAAGCAAAAAGAGCAGGAAACATTACCCTAAGGTTAGCTAACAAAAAGAAACTGAAGTAACGGTGTGTTATTCTCACATCTTTGGCTTTAAGACATGAAGAAGTGACAGAGTACTGCTGCTTCCACTGTTATCAACATCTTTTCTTTCTTTCATGGATTTATCCTGGGGTCATAAATGTCAAAGGGCAAAGGCAATGCTAACAACATAGCTTACTGATGGATGATGATGGATGACACATGTGGCCAAAACAAGATAGAAAGAAACATTAGCCCAAACACAAGTTGTCCACCACAGCATTGACTGCTGTCAAGCAAGTATGTTATACATACGTATCCAATGTATCCTATTTATGAACAAAATTGTGGCAGAGTCGGAAACTTCTCCACTCTACACCACTGTCTACTTAGCTGTGACGCTGCTGTTATATATTACGTCACAAACCTTATGTGGGCCTGTCTTTGCATAGCATTCCATTAGACTATTTTCAGTAGGTGCCATTACTGTGTAGTGATAGAACTGAGGAATACTGTGACTTACGTTCTCTGCTCTCTTCAGGTTCGTATTTCTGTCCACTCTTCAACTTGCCACGCTGACCGTCTAAACCTCGAGGTCATCAGCAACAAGCCTCACCACAGTGCCAAGTCCCAGCAGCCCAGCCCTCAGGGCCGCAGTCAGCTGGTCAAAGAGGTGGTGCGTCAGAATGAAGAGGCGCTGGCTCAGGAGAAGACAGCCCGGCGCCCCAAACTCTCCAAAGAGGAAAGAGAGTTTCGTCAGAGCAAAACTCCCAGTCTGTACTCTATTCTGGAAGAAATCAGAGAGTTGGCTCTGATGGATCTGGAAAGGGCTTCACGCCTCCCGGCAACAACGGCATAGAAACGCTGTAGCCCAGCTTTACCTCCAAGTCAAGCAGACACTTGTGAGAGCTGTGCGCTAACAGAACGGTGATCATTGAAGATCACTCGTGCTGAGTCATCCAGGTCATTCTTGTAGCTCCAGATTGTGTGTGGACAAACCACACGAGTGTGTGAAGTCACAGGAAAGCAAACACAATATTAAGTAAAAACATGTCCCGCCATCTTTTTAGAAACCAGAGTCAAACCGAATCAGTGGATACGTTTTGTAAAAGTTAGTTTTTAAAATCACATCAAGTTAAACTTAGTTGTAAGGAGGATAGGGAACGTGTTCATGCCAGTGAAGTGTCAGCAGTTACTTTGACAAGACCTAGTACTCACTGCAAATGTGGTTCAATCCTGCAGGCAACTAGTCAACTGCAGCAGGTTAAAGAAGTCTGGTAACAAAAGGCTTTTCTCTCAGCACCAGTGATCTCAATATCTCACTGGTGGGATCAATGTCTTGTGTTATAGAACCATTTTCACACATATTGTACTACCTGTGACCACTTCATACAAAACCCAGCACGAGTATTGTTCTGGAGATGATAAAACGTCCACTCGTCCATTTTCTTCTGCACATCCTGGAATCTGTCCCAGCTGTCATAGGGTGAGAGGCAGGACACGCCCTGGACAGGTCACCGGACTGATAAAACTTCATGTGACCATGTCACTCATTAGCAGACTTTAAAATAAACCCGTAGAGTAATGAACACACCTGAGGTTGGTTGTATTGGAAGTGATGTATAAAACTAGGATGTATTTATCTTATAGTTTGTATATCAAGAGCCTGTATAGAAGACACCAACACTAACATTTTAAGGACATTTTTATTGTTTGAACTGGTAAATAATCAGAACCGTTTTTTGGTTTGTGGATTTTAAGATTGTTTTCTAGAACGACCAACAGAAATATGAACTGTACATAACTATTTCAATATGTGTGCAGTGGCCTGTAATTAAAAATGGTGTTTTCATTAGCGCAGATGGAGCCACTTCATCGTGTTGTGTTGCATGCCCCTGCAGTAGCTTAAGAAAGAACTGTTCATAATTGAACGAGCACTTAATGCTTGGAAGAGGGTGATGGTCAGTTGACAGCTCACATACTACACACACACACACACACACAGAGGCCTTGCATAGAAACGTGTTTGCAACCAAAATTCTGCCAATAGTGAAACTGGAGAAAGACGATGCATCAGAGCTGGAACTGTGGATCAGTTCAAATATTTTTCTGTAACATTAGATACCAACACATGGTAAATACGTTTAGGATTTGGACTTTTAAAAATAAGAAAAACATTTATTTCCATTGATTATAAATATAAATGTCTTTGCTAACCCAAAGCTGACGTCACAGTAGGAACATGTGCTCAAGATATAAACCACCAGAAATGCACAACATTACTCGAATGAGCAGGCACGAACATTGGGAAACCTTTAAATCTGCTCACTGCCAAAGCTTTTCAGCAGAAACTGCTGCACCTGAACTTTAATCCCCTCCTACACAGTCGTTGCTGAGCTGTTGCTCAGGGCTGAGGCCGGTCTCAGCCTCAGCGGGCTCAGAGTCTTTGGGGGGAAGCGGGCTGGTTTGTTGCGTGGAGGTGTTGTTGGAAGGCTCGAGGTCAGGATCTTCTACAGTTTCATCTCCATCAGTAGAACCTTTGATGACATTTGGTGAGGATGCAGCTGGAGGTTTGTCTCCTAACATGTCAGCAGTCTGAGAGTCTGAAGGGCCTGAAAGGGTTGAGAATTAGAAACAGTGATGGTTTCAGTCAACACAGACACACTCAGTCTACTACGATTTATAAAAGACAGGCAAAGCTGAGATAATGAAAAATGAAACTGCAGGGTTCAAACTCATTGGGTCAAATTTAAGCACTTTTTAAGCACTTTCAAGGTCCATTATCAAGCTTTTCCAGCACATTACCAGAAACAGATTGCATGTTCCACTTTGCATCACCTCAGTAAGACCATGTAAAAATTAAAACAAATCGTCTTAGGTTGACTTAAATGTTCTTTGTTCCTCTTTTGTTAAAACAGAGAAAAATGCACCACACAAAAATACTGAAAAAGGAAATGGTTGTCTTATATGCATATAGTGCACAAACTCAAAAAACTCATTTCTCTCAAAAATGCAGATGTGCAAATGTGAACAAATCAACTTGTTAGAGATGCTCATCTCCACTTGGAAAAAACAACCACACAAAAGAAGAAATCTGCACAAATGAACAAGTCTGCTCATCAGATATTGATGCTTCTTTCCTACGTGACACAACAACAGGAGACAGATGTTTGGTACTTTAACTAGTTAAGCACCCACACCACCAAAAATGGGGGAAAAGAGAGGAGATCACATTTAATCGGTTATAACACGAGGTCAGAAATATAAGTGCAGACATGAGTGTCCACAGAAGCCTCTGAATCTCAGCTGTAAACCATTTCTACAAACACCAAACAGTTAAAAGAGCAGTTACATCACCATGAATCTGTGGACAGGTAACATCCATATTTTGATTTATGATTTTCTGGACTTAAATGTGACCCAAAGTATATTTTATAGCATATAAGCTATAAAATACTTTTAAAAATTAGGTGAGGGAAATAATCATTTTTTTCTATGTCCCAGTAACTTTGACATAGTAACATCTGCAGTAATATTTAGCCCTCTGATGACAGCTCACAAGCGTTAGCTTTATTTTGATACCAAGACTGTTTACACAGAGTTTGTAATTGCAGAGAAATACTCCATTTATTTTGGCCTCTTCATTTTCGAGCAGGAAGCTCAGAAAAGCCCTGGGGGCCTAACAGGTCAAAGTTCATTCCCAATAAAACTAACTGTGAGATGTTTGACTACATTGCTCTCTGGATTATTGTTAAATGATCAGCTTTAAAGTGTTTGTGCTAATAACACCGTGCACAGTAAGACAGGCATGGAGAACAGCACTGACGGGAGGCTTTGAACAGATGACACACTCAGTTCAGTTCAACATATAAGACTTTAAGAACGCACAAACATCGACCTAAAATCTATTTATTCAGTCCATCACCTGTCATAGAATTATGTCAAATAATAATGTATTGTTCATCTCCCTTAAATAAACAGGCAGCCTTAAAGTATGAAACATTCATTCATTAAAACACTAAAATGTGTCTGTCGTCTCCGTGGCTGATAGAGCCCCACAGGCATCAATGTGAGCTTAAAGCCATTTATAATTTTTTAATGGTTTAATGTGTCGGTGCTCACGATAAACACATTTCGAATGAAAGCCAGGGAACTTCAGCAGCACAAGAAATGGCTTCTTTGTGCCCACATGCATCAGTCCCTCTTTTTACCAGTTTTTCTTTAAGGCTTAAGTTGGCTAGTTAAGTGTCGGACTAACGATTAAAGCTTTCACTTGAGTGAAGTCACTAATATTACTGCTACTGCTAAGTAATGTTAGCCAAGTTTAAAGCACACTGCATAAATCACCATGCCATAACTAACTGCTGTGCTAGCACTGCCGTACTCTATCACACTCAGTGCATTTCAATCATTTCTCCAGCAAGTTTGATAGCTAGCAAAATAATAATCATAGTTTTAAACATTACTCGAAATTATTTACTGTCATGTGACTCAAGAGTACAAATTCCTTCAGTGTCGTTTTCCATCGAACACTCATTAAAACAGCACGAACCCTGAAACTGCTTATTAAAATAATATGTATGTAAATAATAGTATGTTGCATTATAAAAAATTAAGCTTTTGACTGCCCTCCAGAGTTCACGTTAACTTCAGATCTCTGGAAGCTACACTACCCGAACAATGTCAGCTGTTTAGTTTCTATACTGGACAGGAAAAAAAAGGGGGGGGGGGGTGGATTGGCTCCTCTTAAGGAGGACTAATAACTAAAATGTGAAAGTTTAAAGTCGATGAGTAAATCATGCTCGGGTAATACAATGGAAACTGTCTCATATCACCATCTAGTGTTATAAACTGTAAACACATTTTTATGGGTGAAGGTTCATAATAGAGACCGATCAACAGGTCATTTTCTTTTCTATGGGTCTCATTTAAATCACATTCCATCATTTCTGCGGTAAATGAGGACCCTGAAGAACGATTTAATGTCACTGTTAAAGATTTGTAGACAATAGATCACAGACAGCTGGCTCCGCTTTAACTAAAGAGGAAGTAAAAACAGTTTGGATCACAAGTGTAAGGCAAAAACAAAAATACTACGGCTAATTGAAGCTGACATCAGACAGGCAGTAAAGAAATCAATGTTTTCTACATGCTTAGCCTCTTATTACCAAACTTCACACTAATGTGAGGAATCTCTGGTGGTTTGGACGAACTGTGCAATACGGAACTCGTCACTCGACCTTCAGGGTTTCTGGTGGATATATACACTAGATCCACTTCACTATATTGTAAGGAGTATTCACTCACCACCCATCATCCAAATCATTGAATTCAGGTGATCCAGTAACTTCCACAGCTGTATAGAATCAAGCACCTAGGCATGCAGACTGCTGCTACTAAGTGGAAGTGTTTGGGAACGACAGCAACTCAGCCATCAAGTGGTAGATCACGTAAAATCCCAGAGTGGGGGTCAGTGGATACTGAGGCGCACAGAGGTTGCTAATTTTCTGTGGAGTCCATCGCTCCAAACTTCACGTGGTCTCCAGATTAGCTAAAGAACAGTGCACAGAGAGCTTCGTGGAATCCATTTCCATGGCCGAGCAGCTGTAGTCCAAGCCTTACATCACAGAGTGCAACGCAAAGCATGGGACACAGCGGTGTAAAGCACGCCGCCACTGGACTCTAGAACAGGAGAGATGCAGTCTATGGAGCGACGGATCACAGTTCTCAATCTGGAAAGCCGATAGACAAGTCAACTTAGCAGTTGCCAGGACAACAGAGCTCCAGGTTTGGTGGCAGGGGGATTTCGGTGCGGGGTTGTTTTTCAGAAGTTGGGCTCAGTCTCTTCGTTCCAGGAACTCTTAATGCTTCAGCATACAAAGACATTTTGGCTACCGACTTTAAGGGAACAGTTTGGGGATGGCTTCTTCCTGTTCCAGCATGACTGGGCACCAGTGCACAAAGCAAGGTCCACAAAGACATGAACTCTGGCATGGGAGTCCTGACCAGAACACCACTGGGATGAATGAGAGCAGAGACTTGGAGCCAGGCCTTCAACATCAGTGTCTGACCTTACAAATGGTCATAAACTCCCATAAACACTCCCAGAAGAGTTGAAGCTGATATAGCTGCACAGGCGGACGTCGTGAATGGGATGTCACTCGAGTTCATATGAGTGTGGGGGCACATGAGCAAACACTTTTGGCAATGTACTGTACATTCAATGTTTTGCTTTTTGTATATTTTCATATAAAGTTAATACACCAATGAAGCTAGATGATCCTTATGAACCTTCGCTGGATGTTTTGTAGCAGATTCATTAATTATTTCTGTTATATTGTGTCCCAGCTGTATGATACATTTTTGCCATTCTTACCAATTTGCTGCTGGCGTGCGAGCCTCTTTTCCAGGGCCCGCTGTCTGTTCAGCTCAATGCGTTTCTGCTGCTCTTCGGTCAGAGAGGGAGTAGGTGGGGGAGCGAGGGCTTCGGCAATCTGCCCTTGGGGAGCATTAATAAAACTCTCTCTGCTGAACAGATCAGGATTCCCAAATGTTTCCAGTTCACGTTGTACCTCTTCGTCACCAGCACCTGAACACAATTTCAAGCAGTGCTGATAATTAAGTCCTGTGGAATATGGCAAGTATTTCCTATGTGCACCTGCAGGTGTGAAT